TTGTATTATGTCAAACATGTCCCAGTCTTCGGACGTCTGCTTGCAGCCTTCCGCCCACCCCACCAATTGTTGGGCCACACACATCTGCCTGAACCTATTCATTATTTCTCCTTCAGAGAATTTACAATCTAGTTATAAAACCTAAATGCAATCTGACCATTCTCTGTATGGTTCAGCTATTAACAAAACAGGTTTTCAATGCATGGCTGAGTTTTGTAGAAGCAGTTATAAGACAAACATCACAACCACATATACAGAAAGAGGTTTTAACAAACTCCACTTACATGCTATAAAATTAAAAACATAATGCTTATTGCAAACATTAATTAGTAATGTAAACCTTGATAGTACATAGCTATTATGGCTCACATCTTAAAAGCTTCATTGCTGAAATTCCATTTGATGCAAACCAACAGAATAATTGAGATTGGAAAGGACCTCTGGAAGTTATCTACTTCAGCTTATGGCCAAAACGGATGCAACTGCAAAGGCAGGTGAGGATGCTTGGGTTTTTGCTAGTCCAGTTTCAATTAAGGCTGGAGCCTCTCTGGCTATCACATGATTCTAATCCTTCTGTTTTTCCACCATGTGTACAGTCAGAATGCACCTTGCTGCAGTTGTGGTCCCTGTCATGTTCTTCTGCTGTACATCTCTGGGAAGGACTCTTCTCTGTAGCCAATCATCAGATAGACAGTTGGCAATATTGATAAGTCCCAAATACAAATACATATGTTTATTTCTAAAGCTAAATGCTGTTCAATTGCACTTTTCAGGAACAGCTGATTGCACATGAAAAACTAATGTTATTTTCATCAATATAATTTCCCTAGAAAATACAGTGATTATAAGGTTAATTATAATTTTAAACCTGTTAATTTGCCATTCCCTTGCCTTTACCTTTGCTAACAGGTTGAAAAAACAGAAAACAAGGCCGAGACTGCTTATTGCATGCAAAAATATTCATGTCCACAACATATTCAGCACAGGCCAAGACCCGTGGTTTTTTTTCCAACTTGACCAATTAGATAGGAAATATTTTTTATGTGTAAGTAAAATTCCCTTTGTCAGCATATGTGTAGTTAATTGAAAGATTCCTAGAAGAAACATTCTGTAGTTAATATTTATGGTTGCTCATAATACAACTGACTAAACTGGCTTAAGGGAAATTTTTACTGAAAGATACCTAGTCAGCTGTTGCAATATTTAATCTGTAATTTGTCCAAGAAGACAATGCTTGAAATATCCTGTAAAACAAAATATTACCTCAGTATTTCCCAAATTGTACACAAAATGAAAGGAGGCTAACTGCCAAAAATATTGATAAAATATATTTTTGCATACAAAGAACCAATTCCATTTGGTTAATTGCTTATATCCAGAACTTATAAATAATCAGGCTTTATGTCTTCAGAAAAATTACTGTATTATAGGATTTAAGAACTGCTGAATCATACTGTAACATCCTACATATATTTCTCTATTAGAGCTTTCATGTTACTGCAGAGAGCAGAACTTAGCATTGCAATATGAAAGCCTTGATGCCAAGGAACTGGATCTCTTTGAAAGATATTTGTTTCATATGGAAGAGAGAGAGTAAGCCGATTTCCAGAGTCATTCTAGGAAAAAAAAAATACATTATTCCATCTCCTCAGAAGTATACAACAACTTCTTCATAATAGGCGATATAGCATCTTTAGTTCCAAAATGTGTACTGTTCACAATTCAAGTAAAAAATTATGACAGGTAAACACTTAAAATAGTGAGTTTATCTTAAACTGAATCTAGCATCTCATGAATTCAGCACTCAGCATCTCATAAGTGCAGTGGAACCTAACATTAAGTACTTTGATTTGTTATCTTCTCTAGGAATCAGTCGGAACATTGGCTTCACTTTCAAGGGAAGGAAATTACTTTCAACAAAGTATCAGTGTAACAATCCTCTAAAGTGTCAAGGTATCTGATCATCAGATTAAACAGCGTATTGTACTCAGAGCATATATTTAAAAATTATGTTCCATCTATATTTATCATAATCAAAAATACAATTGATCTAAACTGCAAGAAAAACCATAGGAATACCCATTAATTTTTTTATCCGATATCATCAGAGACTTTCAGTCTGAATTTACATAAGGAGGTGTCTGATCTGAATACCTTACAGAGAATGAGCACTGGATTTTCACATTAGTTGCTGAACAATCATATTGCCTGCCACTTCCAGCAATGAGATTGTGTAGCTTATTTCACTGACTTGTAAAACCTTTCCTAGTTCCAAGTACCTACAAGCAATGCCAGTCATAAATAACCACCAATTACTTTGCAGCAGTTGGAAATGTACAGAGAAAAAAAGGTATCAAATATTTTCCCATAAGAGTTGTCAAAGTTTCTTAAGGTTCAAGGAAAAAACATTCAGGAAATATATACCGATACCTTTCTGTACATACATAGCAGCAGATTCTGCTACAGCAAAGCACATTCCTAGCATCTAAATTATAGCTATTTCAAAAGGCAAAAGCGACATTTTTCTAAACCAAGGCAGGTTTCAAGCTCCTTTTGCTCAACATGACCTTCACAGTACAGTCAGCCATCCTACTGTAAGGCACTTACAAGATCAGAGACAGCTTTCCTGCCAACCAAATCACCGCTGCAATTTCTGCAACATTCCAAGCAGCTGTCCACTTAGACCCAGGACCTCCAACATACTGTGACTTCTCATCATCTAAAAGAGTATAAAAAAATTATTCTATACTGTTCCACATTTTTTTAATTTTTATTAAAAAGGTAAAAATTATGTCATTTGGTAAAATGGGTTTTTTTCTTCTTCTCCATTTGCCCGATCACTAAAAGATGAAGTAAAAATGATTAAATAATTAAATTGAATTGATAAATCAGTTAATTTTGAGATTGAAAATTACTATTAACACTCCTCCAACAGCAGAACATAGGGCATCCTTATGTAACAATTAGCTTCTAACACCTGAGAATCCTACAATTTGAAGATCACAACACAAACATTTTTTCTCACTTGTCAAAGAATCAGACATATATTTCTGTGTAACTACAAATTAACTTTTTATTATTTATTTCCTAATCTATCCAAGTTGCAACACTACTTCAACTCACAGTTCTTCCACTGTAAACACAGGTAAGCCAATATACTTACCAGTACATACAGTACCAATTCAGCAGCACCAAAATTAAAGCTGTTCTACACAGGATAATCAATCTGTATTTTTAATTATTCTGCTTCTGAGGTGGTCAAGACTAATATCCCTCCACTTTCACTATAATGGGTCTTAAAGAAATTTTATGCTATTTACCTCAGAAGAAAATTCTACCAAATACCTGTCTTAATGTCTTAGGAATAAAATACACACACCCATTTCCAGCCTATCTGAAAGGGCAGTTATCTTCTGTTAAGTGGGCAGTTTTCTTTATCTCTTCCACAACCAATCCTGCACCTGGGGAGATATCTTCTGTTAATGGGCCATTGAGTGTCACTGCATGACTAATAAAATGGCATCATCACATTGTGAGATGCTCCACCCAAAGGAAGGAGCACAAACAATTCCTAATTGGATAGAATCAGAGATTTGGAGGACCACAGCCAGCCTTTTCCACTGGATTCCCAGAGAAAGACCAGGCCCATCTATACCACCACTGGTTCTTCAAAGGAAAACTATACCCTTCTACAGGACCATTGCTTCAACAGAACCACATGAGTGGTCCTGTCACTCCAGGAGGACTGCAGCCACCATTTCATCAGACTGCTACCACCATCCTGACCAACAGGGTGTCAAGTCGTATTCTGACTTGTCAGTGTTGTTTTGTATTACTCCATTGTTTATTTTATTTCTTTTTTATTTTATTTTCTTCCCTAATAAAGAACTGTTATTCCTACTCCCATATATTTGTCTGAGAGCCCCCTTAACTTCAAAATTATAACAATTCAGAGGGAGAGGGTTTACATTTTCCATTTCAGGGGAGGCTCCTGCCTTCCTTAACAGACATCTGTCTTTTTCAAACCAGGCTATGCATCTGACTTTAATTATTTTTGCAAGTCTCTCAATGCTGCATTTTAAATTAAACACAAAGACTATATTATATGCAGGAAAACCTAAAACAAACTAGCAAACAAATCAAGCCCAAAACCTGAAACAACTGGGTAATCAATGAAGTGGATTCTGTAAATTTCCAATGTATTATTCTAATATATACTCTAATAAATGTTCAGCAAGCAACAATTTCTTTCTTAATTCAACAGCAAGGTACTTAATTCGATAAAAAGGCCAATAAAATCAAAATCAGCCAGAATATGAAGTTTGCACAGCACCACTTACAATACTACAGTAGTCTTCTCAATCAATCAACACCTCTTTCACAAAGAGCAAAGGCCATCTGACTCCCCCATCATTACCTTTTTAAAAATAAGTATTGTTATTTTTACATCTCCAACTTTCAATTTAATCACTAAATAGTTGAAAGCTATAACATTCATTTATGTGACTTTGTGGCCTAAAGAGTCTAGCCAATCTAGTCTTGTCAACTTCCTAGTCATAGCCATAGAGTTTAAGTGTAACAGCCATAGCTTTAACCACAACAGCTTCTTTCCTCCACAACTGCTCATTTTCCACAGTAACGCAACCACTGCCTATTAAACCCCTCCTGAGCACTTCATAATACAACCAAGGATCATGTACAGTATCTGAAAAGTTTCCTTAGAAAAAGGATTTTACTTTATAAATGGAAGACACATAGCTTTCTTCCACCAACAGTATTAACATACATATAAAGATACTCACACGAAGAATAGATCATAACACAGATAATAAAAGCAGAACTACATATTTGATTTTTATCAAGAAAAGACGAGAGGTTTTGAGTTTTTTTACCAGCTAAAAGAACAGAATAGGAAAAGATTTTCTGAGGTCATTGAGGCACAGAAACTAAAGTGATTATTTAGCTTCTGTGTCAGCACAACCTCCTTTGCAGTGTCCTACCTGCCAGAAGACAGATGACTTGGTACGGAGACCTAAGTACAAACAAAAATAGAACAGAAATTGGAAGACTTAAGAAGGCCAAGCAGAGGTATTTGTAAAAGGTTGTCCAGTATTTCAGTCAGAAAGAAACTTTCTTAAATGTAATGCAAGAACCATTAGATATCCATTCACATTATAGCTACCAGAATTTAGTAGAAAATATTTTCATAATTACAACTAATTCAAATTCAAGGCAGTTCCTTCAATAAATACCTTCTTACTGATATTTATTTTAGCAAGCTAGTCTCAATAATGAAATTCCAATTAGCGATCTTTTATGAATAGCATATATTCAGTTTGCACCATTTGGGAACTCTTTTGTTTTCATCAACTAAACAAGACTACATTCCTTCAAAAATTGCATTATTCAGATTTGCATGTACAGGCTGAAACTTGTTGAACCCTCACATAAAATCACACCGCAATTATCTTCTCCAGTTCTCATTTGTGAATGCCAGTGAGGGACACAGCAGCAGAAACAACCTCAAATGCAGTACTTTGATTCTTCCTCCAGAATGATAATCTGCATTGCATTTTTCAAAGATCAAGCTCACACAAATGCTTAGCAGTTTACCCAAAATAAAGGAGTCTACTGAAAGGTCTGAGCATAATCTTAGAGGAAGAAGTGACAGAAGCCACTTAATATCCCTCATAAGGATAAGAAGGATAGGAGACAAGAAGTATGATTTGCAGTTTTTTTGTATGTCAAGGCATTTTCTATGTAGAAAGTTGGGTTTGTATTTAAAGCAATTATGCTCCTATATGAGCGCTCAAAAGAAGCTGACAAAATATACAACACTTATTTCCTTATTTTTATAGCTGACCTTTAAAAACATGTTTCTAAACATACTGCCCATTTAGCTATTATAGTTCATACTTTTAAAAGCATGTTACCATTCAGGATGTACAGAACTAACAGCATGGTTCACTTTTTTTTTCTCTCAGATTAATTTAGCATAGCTATTTTTATTTGACACACAAGAAGACATTCTAAATTAGCAAAGGAGGGACACCTGGCAACCTATCCAGCAAGTAAGCTCTTGCTCTCAGTCAAACATTGGAGAAGGTGTTCTCTCTATTACAGACATAGAACAACCTTTAAATTAACCTCTACTTTTTGACCTCAAGGTTAAAATTAGTGTCTGTGAATATTTACAGCTTTAACTTTTCATAATTTGAAAATTTAAGCACCAACTTATTTCTACATTAACACAGGAATTTTGGAATAAAAAGACTGTATGATTGTACCATCAGGACAGGAGGGTTTCCATAAATGCAACCAAAATTAATTCCAGACCAAGAAGTCACTCTTTGGCAACATCTTTTTATAACAATGCCTGCATTTGCATACAGTAAAAACCAAATTACATGCAGGTAATGTTGGCAAAAATATCCTTAATCTGCAGTAGAAGAGCACTGTCTCTATAAGTGCTGGGAAGTGCAGCTGAAGCATGTATTCCCAGGGAACTGCATGAGCTATACAACCCCCACTGTGACAAACACAGCTCCAGCTACAATGCTGCTGGCACTCAAACTTTACAGAGTGAAACCAGCTGAGAGAATACTACATATCTTATAACTCATTCTGCAACATCCGATAAAGTTCTACACAACTGTTGAGATCTACCTCAGCTAAGCTCTTACAAAATAGATGCCTGTTTCAACACAAAAGTTACTGAAAAATCAAGGTCTGCCTGGCAAAAACAAGCATTCATCTTTGAAAGATGATGTCATGTGTTACATTATTATTTTTGCTCTTTGGAGACAAATAAATGCATTTTCCACACTAAAAATATAACACATTTTTATTTTTTTAAATCCATTTAAGAGATGGAAAGGTAGTATTCTGGAACACAGAATAACTGAAATTACCTCACTTATTTAAAAATTTTTCCTGTTTTGATTTTCAATTTATTAAGTCCCAGTAATACAGCAGTACCTAAATTAGGCATCGAGCAAGTGAACCAGTTAAGAACAATAACATTTTGCTCAGTTCTGAATCAACTTAAAATTTGGAGTTCAAAAGTTACAGCATGTAACACTGAGCTCTCCTAATTCTGGTATCAATAAAAATTAGTTCAAACCAAAGGGAAAAACTATTCTAAAGGCTGAGGTAAGATATAACCATCTGTAAAACACTAAACTGCAATTAAAGAAATAATTTTTTGCTACCAACTTATCATCTCCATTTGTTTTACCTGACTAATTTAATATTTTTAAAGACTAATGCCATTTTAAATATTTTGTCTAAAACAAGGTAAACGCACACGTGTGCGTACAATGGCTAATTTGACAGCTGTGATTGAGATGATTGGTTCACCTGCATCAGGTACAGAGACTGAGAAGACAGACATGCAGTCTCCATTCTTTCATTCTTATACTTTACTAAGTATAAACACCACCAAGTACTTGAGTAGTCAGATGATCATTTGTACCAAAAGTCACAACACCACCAAGTACTTGAGTAGTCAGATGATCATTTGTACCAAAAGTCATAAAATAAATATATATATATATGTGTGTGTATATATATATATTTATCCGTCATAAAATAAATATATATATATGTGTGTATATATATATATTTATCAAGAACTAGATTGGACAATAGAGGAAAAACTTTCACATCTGCAAGCAGTATCAGGATCATGACCACAGGCTCACTGATTCACTTCTGGGGCATCCAGGACCACCAAGAGTGACTCACCTCTTTGCTCTCTTCATACCATCAGAGATACCATGTCATTCTGGATGGCTGCTGGTTATACCACAATTCCTAAAGGGATTGTTGAGATCACAACTAGCAAAGTCCATTGTAAGTAGAAGGTCAACAGCCAAAACTTGGAGCAAAAATGAGTTTGAATGGCCCTGGTCAAGCAGCCATGAAGGAATATTTTACTTCAGCTCTTGTCCTGCAAAAGACCACTCTTCCACAACCTCTAAACTATCTTCTGCTACAACTTGGCAAAGAGGAGACAGTGGACAAATGTAAAGCAGCCAACAAGGATACAAAACAAAGGTTTACACATCCATTTGCCTATCTCAGTCACAACAACACTTTCTCAACAGAATTTCTGAGCAGATCAGTAAAGGAGCACCTGATGGGACATTTTGCTTCCCCATTCATGCCTTAGCTAAATCAGGACCTCAGGACCAGCAAGTAAAATTCATGTACATGTGTGAGTTATAGAAATCATAAGTAAACAATCAAAACGAAAAAGATAAAAGTATTAACCTATTTACACAATAGAAGCATTGTATAGCAATATTCTCAAAAACTGACAAGTACAAAATCACATCCAGATACTATATCCTGCAAGACTTTACCACACAACTAAAAACTTAAAAATACAATAAGGAAGCAGGCCAAAACTGCTTCTAACAAATCCATATCAGGAGGTACTTGAAAGTTGTTACTGAAAATGTAAACATTGAATGATATTTTATAATAAAACTAGCCAATAAATTTATTTTTATATTGTCTAACTTCTTTTGTATTGATCTTAAAGTGCTTTGGGAATACTCTGATCTGATTATCCAGTGGACTTCCTAAAGACTAAGAAAAGCTTCCATATAGTGCATAAATACAACTCCTTCTATGTGGGTCTACACAAACTCCACCAAGATCAGGGAAAAGTTTCTAAACATACAAAAATCTCCTCAGCACCTGAAATACTAGTTATCCTGCTCAAACATATAGCAAAGTGAAAATAACCAATGCAAATGGCTCTGATGGAATCACAAGTGTTCAAGGAGTATAATAAGAATGAAACTATTAATTCTGTTTCCTTATCAGACAATGTGCTCATTCTCTGTTCAGTCTATTAATTACTAATCAGTTATACTGACTCTTTTAAACAAATCACCAGAGCATGACTTGGGCAGAGGGATGCACACACAGGCAGAATCACATTTTACAGCATTCATTTAGTGACCTGAAATTGAAGCCTTTTTGCAATATTATCTGTAGCAAATGTGAATAAATTCATATTTGTAACTAGACTATTTACAGAAAATTTTACATGACAGAAAATGAGACCGATCAGAATGCAAATTTTAAGTGTCTAGCAAAAGAAGAAAATTGTCTTACAAATTTCCACTAGTGAAGAGGTAGACAAAAAAATGGGACAATTAAAAAAGATATCTGACAAAAGGCAGTTCGATAATATGGCTTCCAAAGACATTTTTGTTACAATTTATATATTGTACATTTCACTTACAAAACTAAAACCTTAAGCTTAAACTCTCCAAGCATATAATATGAGCATGTATTATATCCCTGCATCAGTTATGAGGACTCAGACATTCTATTTCTATATTATATTAAGGCTGAAATGGAGTTTCTGTCCTCTGTTAGTCTTGAGTATTTTCAACAGCAAAACACTGCCACCTTTTGGCTTGATACATAGACCTCCCAACTTTAAATGTAGAATCCTATATTTTGCTCCATTTGTCCTTTAGGGAGGTAGTTGAATCCTTGAGATTGTATCTAAAATTTTATTCAGTAGACATACTTCACAAGGAAGAAAAACATACAGTACTAGTCAATAAGGAAAATTTTTCTCATAAGTACCTAGCCTAACAGCTCAAAACTATACTCCTTTAGGCCACACAATGTTTTAGCTATTTTCTATCTCACAGCTCTTTGTTCTTGGCAGTTTTGGTCCACATTGTATCACATGACACCTTGCATTGCACTCCTTTTAAGTAAAAACTTGTTAATGCCTTCTTTGAACATCTGAGTTTTGAAAACAGATGACAGAAATAACAATAATGCATTACTTAAAATGTTGGGTTCCTTGGTCATGTATAAACCTACATTATTGTAGATGAAACACCGATAGTTCAACATCTACATAAACACGTATTGAAATGTATGCAAAATTACTTACACCAGTGACACAATGTCCCCACGTTGTACATCATAATTTCTAATGCTCCAGTGGTTCAAGAGTACTACATCAGATGCTTGTCTTCCCCCAGGATTCAAAGAAGGCTGAGAGAAGGGGAGAAAAATAGATCTACATTCAGATGTACATTTCCTTTATCAATCTTCCACCTAATTCTCTTTCCATCAACAGGTGAAACCCATTAAAATTGATAAAAAGCATGCCCACTTACTGTAAGAGGCCAAGAATCTGTTTTATTACAAGAAATACACTTCTTTATTAAATGACATGTTAAATATAATTAATTTATGACAAACTCTAGTTCACATCTTTTAACACACTACTGCATGCAAACCAGATTACATAGCATACATACTTATGGCAAACCTGATGAAAAGAAGGGATTGCTATTACTTCTTATCTTTTAATATTAAAATCAACGGAGAACCAAGTATACTTATTCCAAAAACAAGCTCCTTGCAGGCATCTTACTACTTATAAAAGTATAATACACTAAAAATGAAGTATGTACTTGCAGCCATATTAATCTCAGCATCCTTTGCAAAGAGGAAAAACAAGCCCTATACCTACAGCATACACTGGCACTGGCAATTAATGCGGGCCTTCCACAACAAGACATGAAAGGACATGTGTTATCATTCTATTGCAAAAGCTCCATACCTCCTTGGTAATTTCTCACAGGCAGCTCCTCGCAGTACTGACTCCTTCCTCACAACACAACCAACAGACTAACTTCCTTCTCAATCAGCCAACCTACTCTTGTACAATACCCATCCTAACTGGATCTAGCTGTCGCCTATTAAGGGCCGGCCTGTTCCTAATTCTTGATAATTAATGCAGCTGTAACTCCTTAGGGGTGAAATTACCTTCATCACTATTTCTATTCTACATTCCATCCATCCACAGGCATGACTCAAAATAACCAGGTAATTAATACATAATTAGGAGGTACATCAAATCCCCCAAAATTATTTTGTGCGATATGACACAAAAGCAGGGTACCTGATTAAAGCTGCCTCTGACTTAACTCTGAGGAAAGGGCAGATGAAGAAGCTCATCACAATACTGTCTTTATTTATTTTTGCAAGGCTTACTTTAAAACAGAGACTGCTTTTACTAGAAAGAAAACATTTAAGAGTATTCCAGACTGAAGTTTTCTAATAGTTTATTTCTCAAAAAGCTTTTTCAGGGTCTTCAAATAAAATTACAGTATCTTCCAAGTTGGCCAAGAGATAATCACTAATGTATATTCTAGAGTTAGGTGATATATGCAATAAAGCACATAATGTTGAAACTAAGCTACCCCTCCTTTGTATGGTAACTACAATATTAGCTAAAAATTTTGTTGTTGCTGTTGTAGAAAAGGTACTTACACTATAACTTGAACTGCCACATAAACCACTGGACTTTCACTGCTTATATTCCCCTCTCCAAATTTTTATGAGTAAACCAACAGAGGGACTGAAATTAACTCTTCTCAACCCTAGTAATTACACAGTGTCAAATTTAATTCTATTGTTATTCAGTAAACTGCTCTCAAATGAAACGGTTTTTAGTATTTATTTTTAACTTCAATTTAGAAATGCTGATTTGTCTTTATTACAGTTTCTTCATTCATCATTGCTAAATAGATTGGTTGACAAAGTCATACTTCTAGTAGGATTTGCAAAAAATTAGTTTTTCAAGGTGCAAGAGGAAGTCATGTGGTAGGGTCCTCAGTAGATGTAATTCACATGAACAGTAAGCAATATGTTACGTCAAAAGAATAAACATGGTAGGAGAGGGGGAGGGATATGACATCATATGTTTAGTTAAAGAGCAAACGAGGCCAGTTACATTTTGGGCTACAGGCAAATTTCCAGTAAGGTACATCAGGAGATCAAAGCAGATCACTTTAATATCCATAGAGATATGGTCCTAGTCTAAGCTATAAATATATTAATACTCATTGCTCTTTTATTTACTAGACTCAATGCACTGCAAGAATCAGATAAATGAAAACCAGGACCTAATTAGCAGTTCTTCTATTAGTAGTTTTTAATCAAGATTTCCAGAATTATTTATCACCTTTACAGCATTTTCCACCAAAGGATCAAATATTTACATACAAGTGATTTACATACAAACTCAAACCAATCAGTCATACTCACTTTGCCAAATGCAGGCACATAGGGGCCAGAAGCTTTCAACACTTCTAAGTATAAGGCAGAGGCCAATCTTACAAACCAGGAATCATACACATGACACATTCCCACAAAGTAAACTTATTACTCAAAGGTCAAAAGCCAAAAGAGGAGGAAGAAACCTTAAATAGAAACCTTAAAACCATTGCTCTAAAAGATAATGTATCTCACAGCTGATACTTAGAATATATCTAAATAAGTGTTCACACTCTTCTTGTACCACATCAACTTACATCAACCACATCTTACAGAGATACAACAGGTAGTTACAGTATTGTCCTAGTTGCACTATCCCAGTTGACTCCTATTTTTTTCTGCATTTTAAAAAAGGAAATACCTTAGAATTTAAATACATTTAGATATTGCAAAAGCTTGTTTAACTTAAAGCATTCTAAATCCATTTTTATCAACACCTGACCTCATTTTGACATACAGAGTGGATATTCAACTCATTATACATTAGAATGGAGTTTGAGAAAAATACGATGGTGTAGGCTTTTTTCTTCAAAAAACCTGACAAACATGCAGACAATAATACTATTTTGTTAAAAGAAACTGAAGGAAAACTAGGAGACAACTATTCATTTACATCATCACTGCTGTCTATTAAAAAAATAAAAGGCTAAATCCTTCAGCAAGCCTTTCTCTATTGTAAATAACACTAGCTGAGATTCCACTACAAACAAGTATAGAAACAATACAACTTATTCCTCATGATATTTTAACTACTGGTAAGGTTTCAGATCTAGCAAAATCAAAATACAGCTTCTGCAAAAGGAGTCAACAAATAGGGTCACAAGGGTTTTTCATAAGAAACAAGAAATGACACAGTTTTCTTCCTTCTAGTCTGAAGCATTTTAACTTCTTTGCTCAAGTTTTTGGCACAAAAGCCTGCTACAAATAAGGCACACAGGTCTTAATTTAAACTGCGGCACAGAAGCCACAAAACATTACTCTTTGCAATTACTAACTAATCTAATGCTAAAAGCATGCAAATTGAGATCCCCAGCCATATGACGAAGCCTCATAGGACACGAGGTTCCATAAGTAGAAGGGTAAAAACATGCCCCTTTGCTATAAATAATGATTAACTTGATAGTTGTTATGCTGCTAGTGAAGGTCACAACTTATTTGCTTGTAGCTTGGGGAACACAAAGAATATTCATATGAGCTTACAGGCTTAGGTACAGTAATCCTAATAATAAAGTTAGGAGAAACTGCCACAGAATAATTACAACTGCTATTATGCATAATGGAATAGAACATTCAATAATGTTTGCTGCAGAAACATGAATGCTTCATCAGAGATCGCTGCTCAGGCCACTTCCTGTAATCCTTGGTATTGAACTGTTTGTAATAGAACTTGCATATAAAGCTGCACATATGCTGTCATTTTCTATCCCACTTGAAAACAGTCCATTTGACTGAATGAATTTACAAATTTATATCCATGAGGGTTTCCTTTAACACATCTTTATGTATGAAGAGTCTGTAATACCGGACAAGCAATGAAACTCAGTAAAAAATGACACAAATCAATATCAAGATGTCCACATGACAATAAACATTTTAAAGTATACAGCCCACACTACAAGAAGTCACACCAAAAAAAATCCGCAACAATCAATTAGGAAAACTTAGTTATTTTTTTAACTTATATTTAATGTTGTAAGCAGATTATAACTCACTAGAGACACACTATTAGTAAAATGCTAGATGAGCACATCAATCTAAAATCCTAAGCAACAAAACTACCTCATGTGATGATTAAAAAACCCAGTAAATCTGGAAATAAAAGAGAAGGTAATGAAACTACTAAAACTGTTAAGATTATAAACTGCAATAGGCCACAGTTATTCCCTATAGGTTAGAGTTAATACACATATACAGTGAAGTCAGCACAAGTGAAATTACAACAGGTGGCTGAAAGCACTGAAAAATACAAAATCAGCTGGAGACAATAGAATGCATGAAGTCTGTCTTAATTGGTTGGGTCAGAAAATTTTTATTTTCATTAGAAGCTTTATTCATATGCTTGCCAGGGTATCAAAAAGTGTTCCCATAATCAGTAACTACGAAGCAGCAGTAAGGCTGGTCCAGAACAAATGGAGAAAGTGCAGGGGGAGAGAAAGCACATAGCAGAGAACAAGAGTAGGAGAGCAAGCATGACACAGGAATTTATTTCTTGCTTCTTGTCAAAACTTTTAATTTCAGGCTCAACAGAAGCCATAATTATGAGTACACAAAGCCAGCTAGACATTTTAGAAGTCTATAGCAAACAGATTCTTGGGAATCTTACCATGATATCAAATTGGGACAATAAGGTATGACTGGAAGCATTTGATTGAAGGATACAATCTGACTTCAAACTAACTCACTGAACCTCAGTCTTCCTCATTCCTATGGCTTTCAGATATATTTGAGATAGATCACTCTCCAAAGAACGCAGTTAACAGGCAGAATTGCGACATGACCAGCACTCCCTCAAGCTACTCTTAAAGAGAGGAATATATTCCTTATAATTGTGTCCCTGTCAGACTTGTTTAGATGTCTAATAAAACTTGGCCAAGAAATTAGTATCTTATTAAAAGCACTAGGATTTTTATTTTCAATCTGAAAAATGGCCATATTCATAAAAGTTTAAAACAAACCTCTATTTCAGTTCTGTTTCAGAATAAAACCAGAGAGTTTTACAGACACTGAGGTGTCAGTAAAATTATAAATGTCAGCTTTCAAGCTATCCATTTGTCAATCAACAGAGGGAACGTTTAATTAAGAGATACAGCAAGGGAAAAGCTTCAATTTTAATAATCCAGTGAATATATATTGCTTTCCCTTTGTCAGGTTAAATAAGTCTAAGCAAATGCCTGTAGTGTTTTTGAAATCTTCCATGAGTAAGTCACACAGTCAACTATGTGCTCTACAAGTGAGTAGCAAAGCAACACTCCAAAACAATACCAGTGCACTCTCAAACACTTGGGACTGACTTCAAAGAAAACATAAACCTGAGGTACTAACCAGAGGGGCACAATAGACTTGTGGAGAGAGAAATCTAAGAAATTTCTTTCCAGCTACAGAACCAAAACTATTGAGCAATAATGGATGTCAAACCAAACAAAACATCAGAGGCAGAAAAAGATCAAACAATAAATGGCAATGTGGTATGCTAAAAAAATCAACACTCCAAAATTTAAATTCTCAGGTCATACCCACTAGTAGCAATAAAACCCACCAAAAAACAGAAACAAACAAAAGCAGAAAGCCAAAACCAGAAAATCTAACATGAATCTGCATCTTAAAACATTCCATGTGGCTCTAGACCTGCAATAGAGGCAAAAAATGGGAAGATGAAAAACAGAGGAGTTGTACTCATCTGGCTAATTTTATCCTTCTCTAGATGCTGTGCTATATATTTGAAATCCTCCTGCCTGAAGATAGTAAAAAGATAACAAAACAGGTTTTTTTTTCACAGTTTTCCCTTCCTCTCCTTTCTAGTGCAAATTTTTGGCTCTGCAACTGCAAGCCCTGAGATTGTCCTCTCTTTCACTGGTCAACAATGATATTCAGAAAAACATCTGTGAAAAGGGCAATAATAACTTAAGTTACACCTAGCTTTTGGCCTTGGATTGTAGAATTACTGGAGTAACAAGATTTTATTTTTATCCCTGTTCTTGATGTGAGAGCTGCCTGCTGAGGTTTCTTGACAGAGTTTAAACATCAGATTACAGACTGCCACAAAAGCCACAATGCCACCTGGCCATTCCCTCCTCCCCACCACATGCTTTTTAGAACATTAAACATAAATCAGCCAAGTGCAGGATCAAGCCTAAGTTCTCTATCCCATGTGTAAATTCTGCATAATTCAAACTCCAGCAGCTGGTCTTCATTGCTGTGAAACTCTCTTCAAGATTCTGAGCTTATATCAGAAAAGAGAGCTTGACATCCAAGAATCAAATCCTTACTCTCTGCTAATTTGAATGTTGCAACATTGGAACAAAATACATCATAGTTACCAGTGGTGATGCATACCAATGTGCAGTGCATATGATTTAAATGCTATGTAACCACATGGAAATTTTCTGTCTACATTAAAATATAGCTTTTTCAAGACCAAATGGTGAAAAAAGTGTTCACAAATATTTATCATCTAAATGTTACACATTTACTCATATTTATATTTACTTGCTTATGCTGTATAAGCATTCAATATAACCAAAGCAAAAACAGCGAACTGATACCTATTTCCTGATAAACATAAGCAATGATAGTAGCTTCATACCACTTTTAGTATTCTTCCCTGCAATTGTGTCATATGTGCTCAAAAGTAAGAACAAGTATAGCAACAAACAGCTTTACCATACAGTTACTATAGTGTAGCTACTAAAAATTAATAAAGCCTCTTTGTGAGTCATCAATTCAATCCCAAGCGACAAAGTATATTGCTGCAAATGTTTCTAAATGTCTAAGAAGATATCAAAACCATTTATATCACTATTTCTCCATATATTTTCTTTTTACTGACACAGAATTTTGGGAAGTTTTGTTCTCAAAATCTTTCTATTCACATCATAAAATATTTAACAAAGTAGAAATTAGACTATTCCATACTACAATGTCATTTAATAACAACTGAGAAAAAGATTTTTTTCACTTTGCTATTATCAATGGAGAGTCACCTTTTAATTTCCTGACACACAAAAGATATTTCCAGCAATACCTGCATTGATGCTCCTTCCACCCTCGCGACACAGGCAACTCTATCCAGAAAAGTCACAGTTACAGGAACGGCAACAAAGAAACCTTTAAAAAAGGCTTTAATGTATCTCCTCCCCAAACCCTGAGCCTGTGCCATAGTCTGAAAAACATGAAAGAAAGAAAAAAGTTATTATAGAAAACATTCGAAGTAACATCAACACAGAGCAATTCACCACAGAATAATTAAGAATAAAATTATTATCTTTTAAAGGTTCACAATATTCAGAGTGGGAAAAAAAGAATGTGCACACAAGAATGGAAAAAAACCCCAAACCAACAAACCAGAAATCTTCATCAGATTTAAAATGTCTATTCTACAGAACGGAATTTGACACCTCACATTTATCCTTTAGATAATTTGAGCATTTCTTGTGATCCTGTGCTAGCAGAAGTACTTGATAAAAATGATTCAATGTGGCAGGTAAACAAAAAGCAAAGTGATGCCACCAGACAAAATTTATTAATGCATTTTGGAAAACAAAAGCATTGTAAATAATTTTCTCTGCATACACTGGTATTTATTCATTTTTTGCCCCCAAAGGTGGATTGTGTTAAGTAAAGGAAAGCTATTTGCAACACATCACCTTTTCTTTATTAAATATTTTCAAAAATAAAAATGCACAAATGCATCATATCCACACTGGTGGTAACTGCAAACATAAAATCAATTCAGATTGTCACATATATCATAGGGACACGCCATAACACTATGGCTCCCTGTTCACCACTCCAACACAAAGTTAAAAGCATGCTGGCAGACTAGGCAGCTACATAATGACACATGGGATGATTCTACTCCAACTTCATGTATTATACTATCTCTTTTATTTAGACCTGAACCACTGAACATGCTTGGAAAATACCTACAAAGTGCACTGAAACACCAGCTGTTTGTTTGTATAGTCATACCTCTGAAAAGCAAGCTAAATATCCAGGTACTGTTGCATAGACCCAAGCCTAATTTACATAACTGCAGTTTGTCTTTCATCTATTGGCAACTCCCTTTTAAACTGCTGCTTCCACCTAATGAATCCCTGGTAGATCAGCTTGTGTTTATATCCAAGAGTTATTTTTCAATTAAAATAATGAAAAGTATAAATATATGCAGTTTCATTCAATCCTCTTAAAAAGTACTTAAAATTTCACAATATAATCCTTTTTTCTTTGTTGCATTTTCAGAAACATGGAAGTGATTAACTATTTGTATGCAGAATATAAACTGATATCACTCTGATGAAATAGTACTGAAAGTAGTATTTCTGTCACATATAGAGCTTCTTAATTCCAAAAAACCATAAAACTTAGAAGAGAAAATTTGGTTCTGCAAAGTAAGTCATCTGCATATTCATCACTAGAATTCTTTATAGATATTAACAGCTTTGCAATGACAACATCTGTCTTCTGAGACTAGTACTTCTGACATTCACCTTCAAAAGGTTTTAATTATTTTTTTTAAGTGGAAATATTTAACCATCTGTAACTTGCTCACAAGTTTAAATTTTCACAGTGCTTACAATTCAGTCATTTTCTTTCTGAACATTTCATGAAAACATTTTCAATTTGCATCAACCACCTTTACAAATAATTTGAAATAGGTTGTGAAACAGAAAAAAAACCTTCACTATTTCAAGACTAAAGCTGTAAGGATTTAGTCTCAGCTTATCATTTAAGAGCTGGTTATTAGACTCAATCCACCAAGAGAGACTATTGCCTCAATCAGTAAAGCTTTACCTTTGGAAAATATGCCACCTAAAAATAAAATTTCTAAAAATCAGGGGTTTGTCCACCTTCTGACTACATTATTGCCTACCTTAATACCGTTCTCTCAACCTACTTACTTTGAACTTTGCATCTTGAGTTTTGTGGCTGGAACTCTACTTCTCTGCTATGAGGTCTGGCATCTCAGACCTCCTCCGCTCTAATAGCAATGTCAGCCACAAAACCCCATTTCGAGACCTTACACACAAATATATTCACCATGTTCTCTAGAGTAACTTGGGAAGAAAAACACTGTCTGACACATGCACCACAATATGGCTGATTTAAGAATAGTTTTTAAAAATTCAGAAATCAAACAATTTTACTTCTCTTTAAATTCCTCAAACATCTTTTTCATTAATAATGAAAATGAATATTCATCCCATCCTATCTACTGAATCCATGGACAGATATTGTTATAAACTTTTTGCAGGAGCCTCATGCTATTATCTACAGAAAAATCCAGAATCTGAAGAGAAGTAATTGGTCAGACAATCCACAGGAGACCAACCATATGCTTCCTAGAACTACAAGCTAATTAATAGTGACAGAGAATCTAGCAGTCAGGTTAAAACTGCTAAGACAAAATGCTTCATTCTCAGTACACCGCTTGCACAAGGCAACACCAGCAGTATTAAGCAGCTGTGGACAACACTGGGAATTAAAGTCCTACTTTTGTGTGTTTGAACACAGAGCATTACACGGCACAATATAAAAAAACATGAGGGGGAAAGCACCAGCAGCACCCCTACAAGCAATCAATTTGCAAAGCCACCAAAACCAACAACAGTTTATGTACTGAAGGACTTCTCTACTTGTCCTGAATTTTCTCCTCTCCTCCCTGTCCTCTTGGTAATGGATCAAACTACTGGTTTCATTTTCCCTGTACACCAATATGATGAATCCTTCATTTATAATAATGAGCTGCATTCTGAACTTTTCCCGGTTCCCCACCTCCCACAGCAAAGGACAGCTTTTTCCCATAACACAAGCTGAGCCAGTCAGCAGAAGCCTTTCTTCCCAAAAGACAGCAAAAATTCTCACACACATTTCAAACAATTTGACAAGAACTATTTAAAAACAGTCCATCTATAACCTCAAGTCCTTTAATATAGCAAAACATTTTCAACACATAGGTAAGTTACTACATCTCAGTATCTGACTTAACAGTGCACACATTTTTGCCTGGTCTGTTTCATAAACTTTCCCCTGTAAAAAGCACAGACAAGTAAATGGGCATGCAGAGTTCCCATGCAACTGTTGACATAGTTCACCACCCAAATGCCAGTAAATGGGAAGTTTCCCCTCACTTTTTTAAGTTGTCTTGCACTGCCACAGGGGAAGGGCTGGAACACAGGCAGCAGAAAAAGCAGTTTGCAGCATTAACTTCTACCAGTAACTGGACATGTGAACGGATAATCCTCAACTGATACATACTGATGGATTAAAATGTTCAGTGTTATCTTCCCTTAAACTTTGATGGTCGTAGGAGAAAAGAAGGGGAAAAAGTAATGATAAGCATTTACTGCAGTCACAAGAGAGAATTCAGAGTGGTAAAGGGAGACACAAAAACGATCCTGAAAATAAAAAATTCTGGTTGGAATTTTTTAATACAGAAAACATAAGATAGCCATCACTCCTGAAGATAACATTCTGCTCTTAGAGATTTCTAAAACATCTGTAGATTTTAAAAGCATCATATTTCCAGAGTGAAATTCCGAAATACAGTGCAGTGTCTGGTTTATGATGACATGTTTAAATGCATGTCAGTGAGGCAAGCCAAGTATTGTTTGCTGAAAAAAAAAAAAAAATTTTTCCTAGCACATACTTCTGGATCTCTGACCAATTTGACACCTTGAATAAGATCAACAAATCACAACACTTAAAAGATGTGGTGAAAAAAAGAAGAAACAAAACCAAATACAAAAAAAAACAGAATAAAATACTTTAGTGATGCATACGCTTTTCAACACCTGTAAGTTACACTTGGTTTAGGGGAAAAAAAAAAAAAAAAACCACAGAATAATTCAGTACAACTGACAAACTTCAAACAAACAACCTTGAAAACTTGTTTGAAACGGAAACACAGACAAGAAAAATCGAAGATCAAAAATGCTAGCATATAGGAGGTCAAAGCATTAAGAATTTCACATTGTGCAGCTAAGAGATTAAGGCAGATGGAGCACAGCATTATCCGGACTGAAGTATTTGGTGCACAAAAGGTCCAGGGATTATAATGAGCCTCTCGTGGGTACTACAACATATGGAGCAGAGATGCTATTTAGATAGCTCTCTATGTATAAAATGTTTATTTTTTCTTACACTTGCCTGCACATTAGAAGACACTGTTTACCTCATAGCCTGCAGAAAATCATCAAGTAATTCAGAAAGCCGCAGGTTACAATATATTTGCAAACCTAGGTACTTAAAAATTACCCACAGAAGTATGATAGGAAAAATAGCTGTAAAAACAAGGCGTTAGCAGTCATCCGCAAAGGAAATAGAATGGCCCCTGATGTGCTTCTGCAGGAAGACGTGAGGGAACAGGAAGGCGGGAATTACAACATATATGCAAAACAACTACCCCACCAAGACTGCTACATTAGCGTGAAATTACCTATTTGATCTTGTTCAGGAATTCGTAACTATATGATATATAGTTCAGGAATTTATTGAAACAACCAACTTCTCTGTCAATCAAAATGTGCATTTTTCTATAAATCAATGGCACCACACTAGAATTCAGGATATATGGTTTTAAAATAAAGAAGACTTTCATAACAAAAAACTCCACAACACATGAATAAGCCAAATTTTATTGTGTCCTATAAAACATAAAACTGAGGACAAAAGCTTTTGTTTTAAGAATGGTCTGACTTGAAGATGAGGTTATATCTGGCTTAACAACCATGATTAACAAGATACTGCTCAGTATAAGAATTTGTGTGATCTTTTTAACACACTCTTTTTCTACAATCTTCTATGATACAAGGCCAGAGCTAAATACTGCCATGCAGCCTGAGCCTAATTTCCCATTTTAGTTTTACATGTCCATAACTTTTATATTACAGTGATTACTGTAAGGGTACAAGTAAGCAGAGTTCTTGGTAGGCTGATTTAACTCACATATATTTATCCAAGTACAGACTTGGACATGATGGTGATGAATGCCACAGAAGAATCAAAATAGACTAGCCCATACATTTTCTGTTAAAATAGTCAATATAGATGAGTACATTTAAGTTTTCATTTAAAAATCCTATCTAGTTCCAGACGAAGCTCTCATTTATCCTTCAATAAAGCCAACTCTATCCTGGTATTATTCCACTATAGCGGTAACATGTCTATTAAATTAATGTATTTATACTCTGCACAGGTTTTACTCATCCTATTCCTCCATCATATTACCCTCTCTCTATCCCCTAGCACACAGACATGAAAGAACACCCCTCTATTTTGAGTTTGGAAATACGTCAGGTCATGGAAACAATGTGTTGTGTTGCTGAAGAAGAAAATCATAACCTAATCTGCAGTTTCAGCAACTGCACATGTATGCCCTGCTGTTCTTTTTTCTTTTCTCTAAATTACTCCTTTTGTTCTGACACCCAGATGTTTTGCTTGTTCCAAATACAAAGCAGTAGATTTTGTTAGCTTCAACTCCATTTTGTACCATTTTCTTACGTCTTTGCTTGAATTCAAGCAATTACAATTTCCATGTAATAGCTCTCAGCCCTATGAAATATGTAGCATTTTTTCCAGTATACCACCGTTAAGAAAAACAATAAGAAAAATCCATTTTTCTAATCTTCTCAGTGCTGTAACACACAGAGAAGTTCCCAAAAGCAGACAAAACCAGATCAACCATAATGAGCTTTCAGCTCACCAACCAAACAGAAAAACTTAAATTACAACAATCATCAACATAATCAGTCACAGAACTATTGCTGGGGGAAAAAATTAGTTTAATGTGGAACTGATTCTTCTTTTAATATAATATTACTATATCCCATCACTGGGATCTATATCATGTACAAAGGCTTAGTTGATGTGTTGGCTGTAACTGGAAAGAAATTCACATTGCTTATTCTTAGAAATTAATTTTGTGTTTCAAGTACACAAATTTTACCCTAATGGACAATCTTGTATTTCCAAATAAAACATTTCACTCTTCAATTATAAGCAAAACTAGAAGAAAACACAGCTGTAGACCAAAGCTACCCTCAGCAATCAAATTAACAACTAGTTTAGGATGGCAAGTAATCAGCCATTGCTCAGCTCTGACAAGTTATTCAGGATTCCATTTTATACATACAAGCATCAAGGAAAGGAATTACAATTAAAAACATTATTAATTGTTACAAATCAGATTTTATCCCAGCTCTTAAAACTTCAGATGTAATAACTTACAAGCACTATCACGCAGGCAACTGGCAGCGTATCAGTTCTTCTAATGTACAAGTTACAATACTTGGATTTATTCATGTTCCTGCACCTTCAAAGAAACTAAAGATCATTAATATATACCGTAGATAAAGGAAAGTACTAAATTACATCAATTTCTGCAACTCACTTAGGAGAGCAACATAACGCATGTTCAGCTTACAACTGAAAGTTCTGTGTTGCTTTCAGCCTAAGAATTCAATGCCTGCAACCAAATTGTTTAAATTCAAGTGTCCTTTCCAAATAACTACCAGCTGCTGCTATGTTTTGCTCTCAAGTACACTGCATAAATGAGGAGTTGCTTTGAAACTTACTGAATTTGTAAATTATATTTACAGTAAACAATAGCATAACCTTTGAATTTCAATGAATTTGCACATTCATCTAGTCAGCTCTCTGGATTTTTTCAAGCACCATAGAACTGTGATGTTAGTTGTGGTTATCCAGAACCAAACTTAGACAAAAACAAAGACAGAAAAAAAAAATTTAAAAAAAAAGAGAATATTCCGTTTTCACCAAAATATATAACTTTAAGTATTCAGATAACATTTAGCAAACAGCCTAAAAATAAGAATAACAGCACTAAACTTCAAGCATTAATATCATCAGAAACAAATTCTTCTAAAAGGTTTTGCTTTTGGATTAAGAAGAACTAAGAAGAACAAAGTTTCATATGGAACAGGGAAGTTTCTTCTAGCCTAATGGAAAGTCAAATGAATACAAAAACAAATTAATAGAAGAAACAAGATTCTCAGGTATGAATCTTTAAAGCCTGCCAGTATGCACTGAGTATACAAGGACAGAATAATGACTGAAAATAATATTTATTATGTTACGAAAAAATAATGCCAAGAGAAAGAATAGAAAATTGTGATACTATTTGAAAGGTATTTTCCATTTTCAGCATACTTCACAAAAATAACCACTTCTCCCACAACTAGTGTAAAAGCAGCTTTGTGTATCCTTGTTCAAAGCAGGGAAATCGGGACTGAGTCCTCGACAGAACATTCCCAAGAAACCCAGCAGTAAAACCTAATGAAAAAACTACTTACCTTCTACTGTCTGGGGGATAGTAATAAACTAAATGTATAAACTAATACAGAAAATTATGCCTTCAAAAATAATTGCCTTTAACAACTCATGTTCTATCCTTGAACTCTAGAGGTCACTGTGGGAATTGTTAAGAGCAGACCTAGTGTACTCCATCATTCCCCACCATATTGATTTTGAGTCTGGGATTCGGGATAACTTCAACTGCCATGTAGGTTTCTCAGGTCTCAAGAATAAGCAAAACAACTTAACAAGCATAAGGATATGGATTTCCAGAAACAGCTAAAATCTGTGGCACCCTAGTCAACTTATAAAGATCTCACCACAAAATTACAACTGTGACTGTGAAGCCACTTGAATCTTAAAATTATTGCTAGCATTATTTTCAGAGATCTGGATATCACCCACTACCATACTATGTGTATAGTTATTTACCACCAGTTCCGGGAGACAATTTATTTTGGTAGCAACATACAAGTTAAATAAAAGAATCTGTAAATTTAAAAGCAAATTAAATGAAAGACTCCTGGAAAATCTTCCAAATGCAGTACTTTAAAATGTTAACCTTTTTTACTAAATGCATAGGTATTCAGTTACAAAGCTGCATATTGGAAAGAGCAAGTCTAATTCTGAAGTTTTCTAGAGAAATTATTTCATTTAGCCTGAAAATCCTCAAGAGGTTCTGTCTTCCTAGTATATTTTATTGATAATTTCGATTTTCTTCCTAGATGAACAGTGAAAAAGTATGTGTGGCATCTGCTTTTAGGGGAGAAAAAGAAAATAAAAACATAGTGGTACAAGAAAGTTATTTAGAGAGCTATGTAAAGCAGCTTTGCCTATTCTGGTATCTTGGTGTGCTCAGTGAATTCCAGATCCACAGAACAAAAGTGGTAATACCAAAAAAAAATGTAAAACTTCTGTAATGGAATACCAGCTAATTAAAAGATTTTACAAGGTTAGAGTCTACTTGGTGTTCAGCTGCACATTTTCTATCTAAGTTTTTGCCAACTTCCAAGAAAATTTGCCTTAAAAAAAAAAGTAGGAACACCAGAGAGGCGTGTCTACGAACTGACTGAATCTCTTCAGCTTCAAGCATTGCAGCCTTTATACACAGAAGCATCAGACGAAGAACAGATTGCAGGACAAGCACCAGACGTGGAAAAGCAGCCGCTTTAGGACAAGTTATATCATTATAAACAAACAAGAAACACAACAACAAAAAATTCTCCCAGATGTCCAGGCTGTAGGGTAGAAGGAAAGCCACTCCATCAGGACACCAGAGAACAGCCACTAACAGTAGTGACAAATACAAGATGTGACAGAAGTTTAATAAAGCAGAAAAATACATGAAGTAAGAACTGCATTTAGTCCAGGACCAAGCACCGTGCCCAGCACAAGTCCCAGTTGCAGACATGACGCCAAGAACGGCAGCAGAACCGCGGAGTCGCCTCCAAGCCGATTCCCCCGCCTAAGCACCGCGCCTTCCACGGGCAGCAAGGCACACCGCCGGCCGCACCGCCTCTGGCAGGCGGCGAGAGCACAGAGCAGCGCTGCTTCTCGCTATTGACTCGGCCGGTTCTTTTGAATTCCGTCCCTTCCCACGGGAAATAGATATCTCGGTAATCTGAGGGGCAAGGAAGTGAGGAAGCACACAGCCGGGCAGCAGCGGCCGCCCCACGCGAGCGGCGCTTCCGCCGGCCCCACGGGGGCCCGCCCCGAGGGAGGCGCCGGCCGGGGGCGGGGGCGGGCCAGAGGCGGCACCGACTGCGGGCGCGAGCTCGCGGCCGGGCCCGCCGCGCGGCGCCTGCCTGGCCCCGTCACCGCACCCGGAGCCCCCTCTGCTCTCGCTCGTCCCCGCGCTCTCCTCCTCCAGCGAGCTCCCCGGCCCCTTCCCCGCCCCGGCTCTCCGAGCCCGCCCGGCTCCCGTGGCTCCGCCCGGCTCCAGGCCGCTCCCGCCGCTTACCCTTTGCTCCGTTCCACGGGGGGCGGGCCGCAGCCGGCTGCGTCACGTGACGCGCGGGGCCCGCGGTGCTCCCGGAACTGCCGCCCCGAGCCGCCCTGAGGGGCCGCGGCTGCCGGCGCTGCGCCGCTCGGCCTGACGGGCTCGCCTTGTGCCGCTCGCACAGAGCCAGACAGGCCTGCACGGAATAAGGTACTTGGCCTGATCCTTTCTCAGCCCCTGTAGTTACAGTTTGAGTCCCCAAAAAACTGAGGATGCTGCATTGCAGTGGATGTGTTTTCCTTCCGTGAGGGTGGATATTCATATACACAAGGAGTTTACACTTGTGGCCGTTTTTTGGCAATTGGACAACAATAAATCTCTTTGGATATTCATATGTAATATTGGGAGTTCTTTATACTTCAGCGCCAAGCTGTTCTGTAGCCAAGTGTAACCCACACAAAAGGGCAGGATTTTTGTTCAGCCGATGAGCACACCAGATGTGATGGGGACCGATGTCAGCCACATCTGCTGCATACAGAGCTGGCTGCATTGTGCTGGCTTCACGGATGGCGGCTGGGTTTTCCTGGCTGGTGCAGATGGACGTACTACGGCTTGTGTTTTCATTCGGTGATTAGTTGTTTTTATCAGTTGCTGTAACAAGTGCGAGCGCCAGTACAGTCTGAAGAAGGAGGTTTTTTCCACGGAGCTCATGTACCTTCAAGAGTCAGTGGGCAAGTTCATGGAGGGAAAATCTGTTACAGATTATCACGCACATAGAAACTACTTCTGGCTCAGGGCGTTCCTAACTAGATGCTGGGAGATACTTCTACTAGTCAGGCCGTTGTTGGAAACCAATGTGAGATGACACCTCTGCCTGTCTGTGCAGTCAGATATTTGCAATTTATTACTATTATTTTTAAGCTCAAATATAAAATTGTTCATAATTGAATTGATCTTGACTTCGAGGCTGAGCTACAAAAGTATGAATGCATTGTTGTCTGTAATCTGACCTTGTCTTTCTACAGAGATAAAATATTTCCACCATTGTTGAGATAGGAGTCAGCTATCTTAGAAGACACTGTGGTAGAGTACTTATTAATAAATTGAATTGAAAGGCACACTTTAAGGCCATTTTTAGTACAAGGTACATTAATTATATACACATAATCTATAAAATTTCTTGTTACATGGTATTTCAAACATGACATCTTGTAAAATCCAAACCTTTCAGCAGTGCTTACCACTTTTAATGCTGTGTTTTGTGGGGCTGGGCGGGGGGGGGTGGCTCATGGTGATGGGGTTATCCCAGAGTAATTTTGTGCCCGGAATTGTCACTGCTCTAACCACCTTCCCCCTCGCCCTGTCCCCTGCCACTGCTCGGTGATATCATGATGGGTGAAGGAGGGCCCGGGATCCTGCAGGGGTTGGAGCTGGAGCTGGTCCTTCCCTCCAGTGGGGGATTGCTGCATCCACGCACCATAGTGAGTGGATTGGACTGAGATCCTATTGCCCTGTAGGGTCTTTTTGTTGGTTTTTTTCTTTTCATTCAGCACTGCGACCAGGGCCTGCCGGTTTGCTTGCCTGCTTCCCTGCCACTCAGGAGCTCAGAGCCAGTGTGTGTGGTGCCAAAACCCAGGACTAGGAGTGCCTCTACACCACACCCTTCTCACCTTCTCCCTGTTTCCCAGCCGTTTGAGGATCCAGAGCCAACGTGTAGGGTGCCACAAGAACTGGGAGAGGGTCACATTTTCCATTCTGGGGAGGTTTCTACCTTCCTTTGCAGCCATCTGTCTTTTAAACCACAACATGCTTAAAACATTTTTACAAAAGGAACATGATTAGCTTTTGTGTGATTTTGTTTTCTGAAAAACATGATTTAATATATATCTCTTGATGCCAACATATATGCCACCCAGGGAAAACCAGTGATTGTTACCCTACCTCACTTTTTGTTTTCCCTTGACACATTTTTAAATAAGCATTACCTTTACAATCAAGTAAGTCTTACTAACTTTGTTGTTGGTTAATCCTTTATTTAATGTATTCTTTAACACATTTGAATAGCGTGCTGTCTTTAAGATTCTACAGGTATGTTATCAGTGCACTGTGTAGAAATTGATAGAGTATTTGGCCACTGCTATCCACCATCTCCATTTTCATGTTAATATTTCACTGTGAAACCTTCACTAATTGTTTACAAATATTGCTGCAAAACACAATATTGTCTTTTTATTTGTAACATAAGAGAAACACCTTATAGAAATGTGCCACAATGTTTCCATGCACTTGAAGCTGACAGTATGAAATAATTCCCTCTAAAACTTTTGAGCTGAAACTCTTTTCAGATTAAAGATTTTTGCTACAAACCTCTCAAGATCAAATAATGGCTTATCAGTTCTCTTCATTTTTAAATCAGGTGTGTTCTAGGCAACTAGCAGGAAATGCCCGTTCTTACTCTTTATTTAGTTGTAGATAAAGTGAAATTTATCAAAGCTGATATTAAAACTATGAGCTGCAAATTATGCATGACCAATATTAGCACCATTTTATTTTTCTTTTTTTTTTTATAAGTATTCTACCACAACTGCATTGGTACCCAAAAGTAAATGACAAGGTTTTTTGCTTTCAACTCTTTAACAAGGAGGTACTGAAAATGTTTTGCTGCTTCTATGTTTCGATGCATCTGTGACTGAAATAAAGAAAAAACGAGCCCTTTTTACACATCTCTTCAATTACTTTTCAGTTGAGAGTACCACTAAAACATTCTTGGCAATAAACAAAACTTTTACACTACAACATCCTTTTAAAAGACTCTCAACAGACTCTCAAACAGCAAGCTTTAAGCTAAAAGCACATTTACTTCAGTTTCCTCCAGGTTAATTTCATTTTGCATTTTAAGACTACAGGAAATCTGTGGGAGATATTCAAGACCTGCTTTGAGTTAAAGTCCTTACCTTTGCAAATGCAACTATCTGTAGGGTATTTAAGGCATTTTTATCTTCCTCCATATAGTAAAGGAATGAATGTTTGAATGGTGTTGAATGTACTGCTCTGAGGGAATGCATTTTGGAGGAAAATACTGGGCCAGATCCAACTGCCTCAGAGCACAGGAAATGTGCAGTGAAAAAGGGCACAGGATCAAAAAGTCTGATTGCTTAATGGATATTGCAGATGAATACTTCATATAGTCCAACAGCGGCTTGAAGAACTTGTGGCCCAAGGACAGCAATCAATGGTGTGGCACAAAAGAGGGCAATAAATCTCAAACTTGCTATTGTACTGGAAAAAATATGATTGCAGCATCTTCACTATTGTATTATTACACATCTCCATTTCATTACATGACTGGGAACCTAACTCCTGCTACCTTGGACCACCACATATTATTCATGTTATGCTTCATACACACTGAAACACAGTCTGGTGAGAATAAAGTAGATTTTGCTTATGGTTGGTCAGGCAAGACACAGAGCACTAGAGGGATCTTTAGTGACCTCTCCTTCAGGGAAAAAGAGAAAAATTAAAACACAAGAAATTTATTCCTGAAATCCTATCACAGGTCAGTGAAAACAGCAGAGCCTTTCAAGGCCAGAAAATATATCCATGATATAACAATAACTTACGATAGTTAATCATCTTGTATTCCTCAAGGAACAGTTATACACTCGTATTTTTGCATAGGAAAGAAGAAAACAAACATGATTTGCAAAGTCAAGAGTCTGTTGTCAACACAGGTAAATTCTTGAAAGGCTCATGAAAGATTTTTCAGTTCAGATTTAATAATTACCAAAAAAAAAAAGCAATGCTATTACAAGGAAAAAAACCCACATCTATAATAGACAGCTAAAATTCTTATAACTTCCTAATATTGACGTCCCTGGTGCTTTGCTCACCCTTTGGTGTTTTCCATGGGTCTTTAGATGGTTTGGTTCCGTGTGATGGGAGTTGTTTGTTTGCTTTGTTACCACTGGCTTTTCCCAACTTCCCAGGTCAGTGTATTTTTAGCTGACCAACACTGACTTGTTTACAACCCTGAAGTTTCCAGTGTCATCTTGCACCTCCCCCCAATCCTGTCATTCCAACACTGTAATCCCCTGCATTGCATTATTATTATGATAAGGGCATAAACATTTCATTCTATCAACTGCTTATTACCATGTGTTATGATTCTATACTACGACTATGTAAAATTACCAAAACGTAAAACACAGAAAGATAGAATAGCTCAATTTGAAAGGGACCCATAAAAATCTTTCAGTCCAGTTCCCCAGTCTCCATAGGACTACCTAATCTAAAGCATGTGACTAAGTTGTTCAGATACCTCTTGAACACTGACAGGCTTGTGGCTGTGACCACTTCCTCAGGGAGCCCCTTCCAGTGACTGACCCCCGCTTTCAGTGAAGAACCTTTTCCTTATGTACAATCTGAATGTCCCCTTATCCAGCTTCATTCCATTTCCCCATGTCCTTCTGCCTAGCACTGCACACCAGTGTGGAAATAGGTACATTAGAGAAGTCCCTCCTGATCATTATAAGACTGTTGTTACAGGTAAGCAGAGTAAAACAGTGGCAGGAATGCTAAAGCAAGCTCAACAAAGCCTGACAAGTCCAGAAGATTTCCAAAATCAGTATAAAGTCTATGTTCTGCTGCTAGCCATAGCAATAATGTATTTACTGAGCCTGAGCAACTGGTCTACATAGGTCCTAAGTATTTAGAAATGTGAAAGTAACTCAGCCTAATATTACTTACTGTTCAATACTCTTCAACATATTTAATCAATTTAGCATTCAAATTTTCTATGTAATGTATAAATCCTTATTTTGCTTTCAAGGGCAGAGGTTACAAAGGTTAGTAGCAAAAACCAAATGTAGAGCAATCATTGTAGATTAATGATTATTAAATGCTTAGCATAAAGAAGGCAGCATTCAGCTTACTATTACATGCAGTACATTCTTTCAGTATTGTCAGATTTAAAGTCTTAAATTTACCTGTATTGGGTCTGTATTGAGTCAGTATTTCTGTGCTGTCCTTTCTCATTACAGAAGCTTTTTTCTGAATCATTTCTCCTGCATGCACTTTAAAGGTGTGTAATTAACTGGTTGCAAGTTGTTAGGCAGTTGATGAAGGGTGAATGAGGTGCTGATTTGTTTTCTTTATTTACATGTTTCCCATAATACTCTGATGAGAGCAGGGTGTGAAGGCATTTTTACTCTTCCTATTATTCTTTCTTTGTTTCATCAGAGGAAGAAGTGGTTTGTGAACCCATTTGGAATTCCTCAAATTCCATTAAACGTTAGTGTCCAGGGAGGCCTACATCAAAACCACAGTAAATGCCACACGAGCATTGCTGTCCCTGACACAAATAACCAGGTTAAAGAAGTACTTTTTTTTCTAATTATTGCAGTGTATCTGATCACTCTCAGCTTGTTGTTTAATAATATGCTATTTTGGAAGATCTAGACAATTCAGGAACTTTACCTTGTTTATTATTCAGTCCTCTCCTACCTATTAACTTTTAACCAGAGAGAATAATAATTGTGTGGGGCAACCCACCTTTCAACCAAGCAGTAGGGAGAGAGACATTTTAAGACAGTTTCGTTGCTGGGGTGTCACAAAGGCCCCCATTGTCTACTCTTTGTCAAAGATGTCTACCCTGGAGTGTTTGTAGCCACCTTTATTTTAACATTGTTTCTAACAAGCATAATAAATAGCTTGCACCATGAAAAGTCCATCCCCTTAAGCATGTACCTCTGAAAATCTCGCTGAAAAACCCTGCCCTTAATTATAGCATATTAAATAAAATCAGCATGAGAGGTTTTGGGTGAGTGGGAGCTGAATTAGAAGTAGAGGAGCAGGCTGAAAGCTACCAAGACAGAAACAACTGAAAGAGCAGAGGCATGAGAAAATTAAACCGAGGCGTGCATGGCGGAGTGTATTGAAATGGCAAATAATAATCTGGAGGAATTGGACAAGCAGGGGACAAGCAAGCAGAAACATAATACAAAGTGTAGATGAATATGAAAGACAAATGGCAAAAACAAAGAGCCCTTTATAAAAGGCAGGAATAATTAAGCTGTGTAATCACAAAATCCTGCTGTGACCAAACTCATGTGCAATTACTGAATGGACACGTATCCCAAGCGCAGCACTTTGAAGAGTATGGCAACACGTTCTGTCTCTTGTTTCCAACCCACCCCAATCAGCAGCAGCTTGTGTGGTGTCTTTGCTTTCTGTACGAGAGCCAGCTAAGCAGAACCTCCCTGGGAGCAAACCCAAGGCTGGAGGGGCAGCTGTAATTAGTTCCTAGTCAGCACCATTAGTTCCTAGTGGCACCATCAAATCGTTCTTAAAAGGTACTCTTTAGTAAAGCTACACATAACACTGTTCAAATTTTTTCCCCATCTATTGTTATTTTAGAAAGTATAATACATTCTTTACTAATATATTTAAAAGAAGTATGCAACACAATGTTACAGGAGAATAGTGGGTGTCACTGCTAGGGGCAATTGGCATCTCCATTTTCCTCTATTTAGTATGTATTTTGAGGACCTTATTACAGGCTGTTAGGTCACCATGTTCTGAGCAAATCTTGTTTGCTAAAACAACTTCTACTTCTAATGGTATAGCCTGGGCTGAGTTAAAATGTTTTCTAAATTATATAAGCATAATCTGAATCCAGAATGTCCAAAGAAAAACTAGCTGCAGTCTTTTTGAAATCTCCCATGGGAAAAATTCTTTCCAAATACATGAAATTAGAGCCAATAAACGACTAAGGCATCAGATGCAGAATTGAAACACTTAAATCCAGAGTTATGGTCCAAACACTGCTGCTCAGCTGTTGTATAACCTTGTGGATAATTCTTCATTTGACCTGCAAGTTCTTTTGAAATCCTTCTTTCCTGCAAGGTACACTTGCACATACCTAAATCAGAACACTGAACAGACAAGGCTTTTAAATCTGATATGAATTACCAGAGCATGACTTACACTTATCCAAAAGAATCAAGATTGTCAAAGCATCTAACTTGCTTTAAAATAGCAGCATTTAGTGTACAAGCACTGAGGTAGTTAGTGAAGTCTGTAGGGAAAGGGATTTTGATCCCAGTTTCTTCGTCAAATATTTGGTTTCTTTCTGAAGCTCAGGAGTTTCTAGGGTTAATCTATACATCCCAGGTTGACTCCATGTACAAGAGAGATATTGACTGCTGTTGCTAAGATGTAAAAGAAAATGGTGACTTAATACTGTAATTTAAACAGCTCCTTCTTCTTTCAGAGTGCTCAATGCCTATTCTAAAATTTCCTGCTGGACCTCAAGGATTAAAGACAAAATGAGTTGTTTCCAAAACCTGATCAGGTTGGCAAAAGTTTAACTGTGGTGCATTGTAGGAGACAATTCTCAACTGTATAGCTTAATTTCATACCTCTGAGTCATATTCATGTTGTTTGAATAGAAATTTTGAGTCATTAGAGACCGCTTTTGTAAAACATTCGGTCTGAAGGTTAATGAGTTTATATGAGGATACCTGAGATAACAATGATTATATGACTGAGTGGAACTGGGTTGCTTCTTGCCATCTATTCTTTCAATATCTCTGCACACACACATATATATATTTACCAGTAAAATTTCTGGGTGTAATTTACACAGCCATTCATCTGTCTGACCACTTCTGCCCATACATCACTCTTGGTCTGTCCATTCTGCCGGGATTCTGTACCCTGGACAGACAAACTCCTTTGTGCCATCCTCACCTAAGCTACAGGATAGCAACAGGCAAAGACATGACGAAGAGTTATGGCTTTGGCTCACTTGTCACGGTTTGTCTGCTGGTCACACCAGTAAAACACACTGTAGTTTTCAGGGGCACATAAATTAGTCAAATCTAATGTAGCCATTTTTTACTATAGAGCATTTCAGTTCCCATCAGTTGACCTTGGAGCCACTTACTTGAGACCTGATGTAAGATTTTTCTTTAAATGAGAAAAGGGCTTTTTTCATTGCATACTTGATCATTTTAAAACATTTTAGAGACTCATTTTTTCAGACCTTAATCTTGACATTCCTGCATGAAACACTAAAGCTGAAACTCACAAAAAACAGCCTCATCTGGAGCTAGAAATATGAAAGGTAATGGTAGTAATTAGGGAAAGCAATGGAAATTATTCTAAAGCTTCTCCTTGACTTCAGTTACATGTATGCATATATCCTCTTGCCTGAAGGCATTGCAGCACAGGTGTTTGGGTCTCTCATTAAAATGAATCTCAGTGATAGCATCCCCTTAAAAACAGTCATGTTTTTAATTTGCTTATATTTGTACATTCACAAGTAAGCTTACAAGGCCCATTTACTTTTGCAAAACTCAGATGTTCATTAAAGTTCAGACACATTGAAACTTTTAAGGCTTAGCAAAAAATAATTTGGAACTTCATGATCAAAAGACTGAATATAGTGTCTACTGGTTAGCATCCTAGAAAACTGAGAAAATATGTTCCTTTGTGGCCAGGTGAATTCTTCAGCAAACCTGTCAATAAAAGGATATAAATCCCTTGTAGGGATACAAATGTTATATTATACTCTGGATTTATACACTTAGGGCTAGCTCTAGTATCAACTACAAGTACCTAGCCTTTATGTTTCTGCCTTGTCTCCTTCCCAGCCACAGGAATGCATTGGCCTGATGGATGCACCCAGGGGTAGCTGGTCCTCAGAGTGGGCACTCGGAGCTACTTGGTCTCCTCAGCCAATACTAAAGTTGCTAGAGAGCTGTGGTTGGAGCAGCACCATTGGTAAGGCTTGTGTGCCTCAGTGCACTCTGGTGAAAGAGTCCTAAGTGCTGTACCAAATCCTGCACCAAGGAGAGGCACCTGCATTAGCTCTTTTCATGAGCTGTGTGCTGCGGTACTTTACTGCTGGTGGCGATACAGGCGATGTCTAATTCACTGAAATATTCACCCAGGGAGATAAACAAGTTGTGA